ATTGGTGTGTATTTTCCTTTCTTTTTTTTTTTTTTTTTTTTTCCCTCCTCCCCCCCCCTCTCTCTCTTTCCCTCTCTCTCTCCACTATCAAATAGCCCATGGTAGGCTTCCAGTTTCCTATGTAGCTAAGGATGACCTTGAACTTCTGAAACTTCTGTCTTCATCTCTAGTGCTGGGATTACAAGCATGTGCTACTACACTAAGTTTATGTGATGGTGGGGATCAAGTCCAGGACTTGGTGTGTACCAGGCAAGCACCCTGTCAACTGAAGTGCATCCTAGTTCTGACAGTTTCATTTTCAACTATTTTAGTTCATTTCAATCACAGCAAACAAAAATGAGCAAGGACTGTTTCCATTGCTGTCAGTTGATAACTTCCACGTTTGACCTTTCCTGGACTTTCAGCCTTTGCATGTGTATGTCATTGTCATGGCCATCACACAATATGTCTCAAATAGAATTAATTTTGCATACTATTTTTGCATTCCCATAGGTGATGGAAGAATCATCTTTCTTCCCTCTTTTGTCTCACATGATAATAATCAGCAAGGATCCACCTACAAATTGTATCACTGGATCTTAGCAAATCTGCATCATATCGACTTTCAGAAACCATTACCCCATTGCTCACCATCCTTTAAGTTCTAAGACCATCCTCATGGGTTTCCTTCTCTATGCACTCAGTTGAGGTCATTTGCTACCTTGTAGCCTGAATCATTGAAAAGTTGTAAGTTGGATATGTCCTATCTACTCTGTTTCATCATTTTATATATTCTTAGTGCACCTTCATCCGATTCCCAGTCCTCAGTGACCTCCTTGCTAGTCTCTGAACACAGCCTGCGCACACCTGCCTTAAGGTACTTGGTGTCGCTAGTTTCCCTGCTCATGATGCTCTCCCTGTAAATATCAACTCAGTTATACATAGAACTTCCTATTTGTACATAATCCTTATACTATAAGAAAAGCTTTGCTCAGTCTCACCATCTGAAGTAACAGCATCTGATATTTTCTATCTTCTTGATAGTGTTAATCAGAGTACAGTCTCTGTACCTGCTGTTGTATCTATGTCCGCTGTGTGCTTTCTTGAGGGGCAGATCAGTTCCTTAGAACCACAAACCATATCTCTGTTGCCTGGAACAGTATCCATTAGATGTCCACTCTATAGTGTTTTCTGAACAGTGACATGCACTAAAGCCTACATAATTGAGGCTGATACAGGACCAAAGGATGACATTTTTTTTCTGTGATTGTAGACCCTGAGATCAGTGCCCTGCCCATGCCAGGCATATGCTCTCCCACTGAGCTACATACTAGCAGAAAAAAATTGATATGGTTTACAAGTAATGCACTTTACAAGAAAGTGATAAAAGAGAGACGTATGTATATAGTTGTCTAGAAACAGGAAAGGTTACAATGAAGATTGTGATTGGCTTTAGTTTTCTGTTCTCTTGTCTCTTCTGCCTTCTGAGTAGAGTTCCTCACCACAGTGACTGTTGGAGTTACAGAGATGCAACCTTAAGAAAGCCTTAGGTGCATTCTGCCATTGGTCAGCTGCTTTGTGGGCTCACTCACGGTGAAGAGTGGACATGAATATTCCTGGGAAATTAAAGTCAGTTGGATTTGCACTCTTAGGTTCCCTCAGCCCACACCACCTTAAGCACCAAGGAGGCTCAGTTATAAAAAATAACTCTTAACAATGACAATGATGTCTTATCACAGGTGATAGACATTCTTGGTTAATATGCCATTTTAGAAGTCCCGTTAGCCCTGGATTAAGAATGTTAGTGCCTTTCTAGGGTTTTGGATTACTCTTCTGCAGGAAAAATGCAATCCAAATTCATCTGCCTTTCATGTGACTTTGCTGAATTCTAGTCACTGATGCAGGAGATGGAAACAGGAGTGTATCAAATAATGAATTTTCTTCTTTAATATTATTATAAAAGAGATGAAAGTATTTTATGTTCTTTGATATATCAGGGTAATTCCTACCAGATAAACATTTTATAACCTTCAGAAAACAGAAATATTTGCTAGCCTTGAAAATATAAATTAGTTTACAAAAATTCATTGTTCCTATCTTAGTTTACCTTTTATTACTGATCAAGACCAACTTGAGGAAACTGAGACCATTTCTTGTTTTAGCTTACAGTTCACTATGACACAAGTCAAAGCAAGAACTTAAGGCAGGAACCCGGACAAAGGAACCCAAAGCAGAGGGCATGGAGTGTTGCTTACTGGTTTGCTCCTTATAGCTTGCTCATTCTATTGTTATGCAACCCAGTATCACTTCCCCAAGGATGACACAGCACACATTGGGGGAGTGGCACTCCAATACCAATCATGAATCAAGAAAGTACCCCCACAGACCTGCCTACAGGCCAATCTTACAGAAGTATCTTCTCAACTGAGGTTAATTTGCATCTGATGATTCTAGATTATGTCACGTTGACAAAAAACTAACAATCACAATTCCTAAACTTTAATTCCTAATAAACATGGGGATTATCATATATAACTCTAGTATTGAAAGTTTAAAACACAGGGTATATAGAAACACATAATCTCATAAAACTTGGACTGCCCAGTGTTGATTTTAACAATTGGTTTTAAAAGACAAATATGATTACTTTGTAGTGTATTAATCACTTCAAAAGATTAATGCGTCTGAGAATATGTTCTTTGCATGTCTTTAAGTTTCCCTTCAAATTATTTTCCAGAGGTAGAAGATGATGAGGATGAAGAGGATGAAGAAGATGAAGAGGAAGAAGAGGAAGATGAAGAGGATGAAGAAGATAAAGAGACAGACTTCTTGTATAAGGACTTCGATGGTGACACTGAGCCACCAGGGTTTACTCTGCCTGGTATCACGTCCCAGGAACCTGACATAGGTCCAGGAAGCATGGACCTACTAGAGGTAGCCACCTACCAGGTACCAGAGACCATTGAGTGGGAACAGCAGAATCAAGGTCTGGGTAAGAATCCTTTGAATTATCTCTCTCTTCTCTTTTGCCTAAGACTTCAGTTTTCTTTCATTGAGATCTGTCATACAAAAACACAATCTGCTTATAGTTATGGGTGTCTATTTGTATGTAAATTATCAGTTATTTCCTCAAAATTTTTACATCTATGGTTTTACATAGCCAACTCTAATTCTCTACTTCCCATTACCAATCTTGTTACTTGATGTTTTGGAAGGATCTCCATTTTTCTTTCCCAGAAGGAAGCCTTTCAAATGGGAAGGAGAGGTCTAAATAAGCAGTGCACAGGGGCTGGAGTCAGTAATTGATGTGGTGTGTCTGTGTGTGTGTGTGTGTGTGTGTGTGTATACGTATATATGTATGAATATATGTATATTATATAAGGTTTTACAAGTTTATGAAGGTATAAAAATACCATATCAAATTATAAAATAAACAAAAATAGTATAAACATTAGTTTGTGAACACATATTATTTTGAAACGCTCCTCACAAAAAGGTTTGATATTAATGAAATAAAATACTAAAATATGAATATAATATGTTACAAAATATGATACAGAAAAATACAACAATCTATAAATGATGTGATTCTCCACTCAGTGGCATTATCATTATCATAAGATAGTATCATATACAGTAAATAATTGTAATGGTTTGAATATGAAATGTGTCCCACTGGCCAATGCATGAACCCTTAATGTCTAGATGGTGGGTTGCTTTGGGATTGTATGTGGTCCTCACTCTCTTTGTTTACCCTGCTTCCTTTTTGCCTTGATGTGAGGTGTTTAACCATGCCTTTCTGCCATGATGTCTTAAATTGTTTCTGTTACATATTCTGTTATGGCAGTAAGAAAAGTGTTTGTAGTGTGACTACTGAGTGTGATAGAGATGAACATTTGAAACTTCTGTTTTACTAGAGAGATAAGAGAAAGATTACCTTCCTATAGAAGTAAGTAGACTGTTCAGAAATGGTGGTGTACACCTGTAGTCTCAACCCTCAGAAGGATGAAGCAAGAAGGTTGCAAGTCATAGGTATCACAGGTATGTAGCTAGCTTGACATAAGTCTGGGCTCCGAGGCTATCACTTATATCCCAAAGTATAACCCATGCAAAAGAAATTAACCAACAAGCAGCACTAGGCAGGCATATGTTCCAGGGTTGTGGTCAATAAAATGAACTCTCCTCACTCAGGAAAAGGATTTGTCATGTACAAGTAAATATAAGCATCTGGAAGAACTGTGGAGCAGAGGAGAAGGTGGAGAAGCTTCAGATCAGTGCTGCGATGATTATCTGAGTTGTGTTCTAACTATGTCCATGAATACAAATTGGTTATTGGAGTCCAATTTAAGAAATCAATTTTATTGATTTACATGTTACAGGTGCAAATTACATTCACTTAAATGTCTAATTCGGTGAAGTAGGTTTTTAATTTTTTGAAAAGCTTTTACAAGGTCTCTGTGGGTAGCTCAGACTGGGCTCAGAATCATGGTTCTTCTGCCTCAGCTTCCTCTGGCATTACATATGTGTGCAACTACACACTGTCAATTCAATGGGTTTGCAAGTTCCCACTAATGCTCTTCTTCTACAGTCAATATACAGAACATTTCTATTATCCAACTTATGCCCTTTGTCCCAATAACCACTGATCTACTTTTGAACTTATCTATTTACTTTCAATATTTTATTTGTGTGTGTGTGTGTGTGTGTGTGTGTGTGCGCGCGCCAAGTATGTGCAGGTGTCTACCACAGAAGCTAGAAATCATTATAACCCCTGGAACTGGAGCTACAGACAGTTGTGGGGGTTCTGAGGACTGAAATCCAGTCTTTTAAAAGTATAGCAAGTACTTTTAATGTTGACTATGTTTTAGTCCCCTTTGATGCATTTTATTTTGATTTTGGATGTGGAAATGTGGATGTGCCTATGTCATGACATGTATGTAGATGTCAGAGGACAATTCTTGGCTTATGTTTTCTCCTTTCTTCTTTAAGTGGATTCTGGGGATGGAATGTTTCCCTAGAGTACCAACTGATGGAAGGGTTCTACATAGAGTACCAACAACAGACTGATGGATTGGTTTTGCTGAAGCTCAGCTTGGTGAATCAATGAATTTAATTGGCTTACTTACAGTAGTAATATGGGAGTAGTTACTTACAGAAGAACAAGAGATCTCCAGTCATATCGTGAAGTTGCACCCTAGTGTGGATGACAATCTCCTAAAAGCTGCATAGATGAGGTCCCCCTGTTAGTTAACTTGCTACATCCCTACATCTTTTTCCCAAGTCCACATGCAGCAGGAGGGAGGTGCAGGATGGACTGAGTGGGTGTAATCTCAGGTGAGGGGTTAAAGATGCTCCTCACTCTCTTACTATGAAGGACCTTCTTCAGGTTGGATCTTGTTAGGAATTGTCTGCAATAACCACAGCTAATCTGATTAAAATGATAATGACTATGTTGTGATTAGGAGACAGTGTTCCATGACAGATACATATTATTTTATTTCTAGCTTCTTTTACTTAGTGCTATGATCTTGAGATCCAACTATGTCATGTGTATCAATATTTAAACCCTGTTCTAACAGGTTAATGTTCTGCTGTATGGCTATGCCACACTTTTCTTTTATCTAGCCAACACTTAAGTTGCTCCAAAATTTTGTGTAATAATGTGTGAAATAATAAGGTGTAAGGCATAAGGCTTAGGATGAATATTTCTTATGTCCTTCTGTCCTGGTTCCCGATTCCATTACCTAAGCAGAATTTAAATGTTTATAAATTAGTGGTATCCACTTGGTGATTGGTTAGCATTTTTAAAAAATAAACAATTAGTTGTGTGCGTGCGTGCATGTGTGTGTGTGTGTATGTGTGTGTGTATTTCATGCATTCCACTAGTCCTCATATATCATGGTTAGAGTACAATTTGTGGTAGTTGATTTTCTCCTTCTACCATGTTGGTTCCGGAGATTAATCTTAGGTCACCAGGCTTGGCACCAAGTGACTTTACCTACTGAACCATCTTGACAGCTCAATTTGTTATCTTTTAAGTGCTTTTCCTAGTCCAGGGTATTTTTTAAAGATTTACTTTAATTTTTATTTTGGTTATGGGTATGTGTCTAGGAAGTGGTATATGCTTATGTATACAGCTGCTCATAGAAGCCAGCAGAGGTGATTGGATTCCCTGGAGCTGAAATTACAAGCAGTTTATAAGCTGTCCAATCTGAGTACTGGCAACCAAACAGGTCCTATAGAAGAACAGCAAGTGTTCTTAACCACCAAACCATCTCTCTAGCTTTGTAAGTTTGTTTTGTTATATTAGTCTTTATTCTTACTATAATAATTTACTATTTTTCTAAATATCTCTTGTGTTTTATCATAATAGTTTTCCAGTAAGTTAATTTCAGCAGACTTTTGTTAGCATTACAGATTTTGTAGAAACTCAAACAAGGAACTATTGTTTAAAGCTGGTCTTTCTTCCACTGGGGAAAGATTGTAATTGTATAGTGTCTGTGTTTAGAATTTCATTAACCCAACTTTTTTTGAAACATTTCTTTACAACTTTAAATTAATTGTGGGTTAATATTAATTCATTTGCTGTCCTCAATTCTTTCAGACTGGTTCCTTATTCCTGGTACATTTTGTGGTAGGTAGAAAAATGGCTTCCCAAAAAAAGTTTATGCCTAGCCTCCAAAGGCTTTTGCTATCTCACCCTATGTGGAAAAGGAAAGTATCTTGAAATGGGTATTGGGACATTAGTCTGGATAGTAGTGGTTTCATAGTCATATAGGTAGCATATTAGAGGCATAACTCAGATGGTAGAATGATTTTAGCATGAAGGAATAGTCCAAGGTTTGATCACAGCAGGGCATAAACTGGGTATGTTGGTGTATGACTGCAATCCAAGCACTTTCGAAGTAAAGGCTGGAGAACCAGAAGTACAAGGTCATCCTAGGCCACATAGAGAGTTCGAAGGCATCCTGGGATACATGACATCCTGTGTAAGTAACAATGGCAAAGGAAGTCTCCTAACCCTAACCGATCAACAAGCAGAGAAAAGAAACTCAATGTCAGAGTCAAAAAAGGATATATGATGTTGGAGGCAAATGTTAGAGCAATGTGGCCCTAAGTAAAGAAATGCTAGAAACCCCTAGAAGATGGAGAAGTCAGTAAAATAGATTCACCTGTCACTCATAAAAGAAATGGCACTTGTCAACATTAATTTGAGCCCAGTTAGGCCCATTCTGGACCTTTGACTTCTAAAATTATGAAGTAATAAGTTTCTGATGTTTTAAGCCCCTGCTTTTGTGTCAATTTGTTAAAACAGCAAAAGGAAACACATTCAGGTTTCAGTCACTATTTAAATAAGCTCAATCATTTTGAAAGTATTACTGTATGGTACCTGTAGGCAGCATGCAGATGTTGTAATCTTAGGTCTACTTTTTTTCTCACAATAAATAAGCAAAAGTGCAAATATACAAATATACTCCCCATAGAGTAAGAACAGAAAATATAGACAACTTTCTAGTACAAATCTGTAGATGCACAGGCCCCAGTTTTCTGAAATTCTGACTTCTACATGGCCCGTGTGTATTGCTCTGAGTGCCTCCAGCAGAACTCATCTTTCCAGGAAGTGGTTGAGATTAAGTCATGTGATCACTTAGGCAGGGAAGATCTGATTGGTGTAGTGTATTGAGTGTGTATCAGTCATCTCTATCAGTGATTTCTGATGTGCTCTCTGCCTTCATTGCTTATACATTCTTTTTTTTTCTTTTTTTTTTATTGGACGATTTATTTACATTTCCTATGTTGTCCCCTTACCCCATCCCCCACCACCCCCTCGGAACCCCCAATCCCCTCGCCCCTCCTCCTTCTTCTCTGTGGATGTAACCTCTATCTACACCCCCCCACTCCCACCTCCCCACCCTCAAAATTCCCACCCCCTGGGGCATCATCTGGGTCTCTTCTATCCTCTAATGAATTCTGTAACTAGTCTTGTTAAGC